TCCACCTTATAGGCCTGGACAGAATCATTGCTCATAGGGTGCAGGAGAAGTCCATTTGTAGAGTATGCTGATGGAAATATTTTGCTGCTGTGTACAAAAGAATAATTGAAAGACTGCTTCTGTATACCTCTTTTTCTCCTGTGTTTAATTGTTTCCCCTATTTGAATTCTTTCTGTTTTCATTCATGCAGCCATAGTTATTTTCATCCCTTTCTAGAATACCTTTAGTAGTCTGTATAGGGTTGGCTTTGTCATCATGAAATTCATTAGTTGTTCTTTGTCATGGAAGTATTTCATTACTCCATTAAACTTGAAAGAGAGTTTTTCAGGGTATATCAATCTGGGTTGGAATTTGTTTTCTTGCAAGACTTATAGTACTTTGCTCAATGCTCTTCTTGATGGTTTGTGAAGGGAAATCTGCCATTATTCTGTTAGGTTTTCCTTTAAATGTGATCTGTTTCTTTTCTGTAGTGGCTTTTAGTATACTGTTCTGATGCTGAATTTCTGGGATCTTGATTATTTTATGTCTGAGTGTGATTTTAATTGGGTTGATATTATTTGGAGTTCTATATGATTTGGTTACCTGAATGTCAGATTGTTTCCCCATATTTGGGAAGTTTTCTGCTATTACTTCTGTCCATATTCTTTTTATGTCATTTGTATTGACTTCTTTCTCATTGATGCCTATTAGTCTTATGTTGCTCATCTTTGCATTATCTTGGAGATGTTCAATTATTTTTTTCCTGCATCCTAGTTGCTTTTAAGGAGTCTTTTTTATATTAATTTTAATGAGAAAGAAATAGAGACAGTTTCAAAACAGGTTAGTAGGACAGTTATAATAACTAATACATGGCATATTGTTGTCTTTGTAGTATTCAGAGTACATGATGCAGACATGCTATCTTGTCTAAACACTATCAGTACAAATCTTTCTTCTCACTGAACTAAAAGTAGCTCTATATCTATCTTATTTTTTGTATACAGATACATATTTTTTTCACTACAAAATGGTCCTTCATTTATATCCCCTTTTTTTTGTTTGTTTTGTTGGAGATGGGTGTTCCATTGCCATTCAAATATTGTAGGTATTTGAATTCAGCAAAAAATCCAGTAGAGTGCAATAGTCCATAAGAGTCATGGGTTATCAGCAGAACTGGCAATGTCAGAAGTTGTTGACTTGAGCCTTTTACAGCTCAGCATATTAATATGGCTTTACTTTTTATACTTCATGATTATATTTTTCTACTGGATGGTTAAGACCAAGTTAAAGCAAGACCCATATAACAACAAAGAAAAAATGTAACTTTTGTACCTGACAAGGCCAGTCAAATCCCCTCAGGATTTACTCTGAAACCATGTACAACAGTTTGTAGATCTTTTAACAGTGTCAGCCAGCTGGATGAGTCATGGCCATTGCTTGACCAATTTGCTCTCTGTGAAAGCCTAAGATAATGTTTTGTCTCCATTTTTTAATATGTTTTATTCATTTTTTTGAGAAACAAATATCAATGAGACACTTTCCAAGCTGATTAATAGGACATTTTCAATAATTAATACATTGCACATTGTTATCATCTCAGGGGTCATCCACAGTACAAGAAGCAGCCAGGACATCCCATTCAAACGCTACTACTACAAATCCTTCTTCTCACTGAACCAAGCAAAAGCAGCTGTACATCTATCCTAACTATTCTGTATATACAAATACAAAATGGTCCTTCCTCTGTATCCCCCTCTCCAGTTCAGTCTTGTCAGAGATGGGTATTCTATTGGCATCTAAATATTATAGGTGCTTGAATTCAGCAAAACAATCCAACACAGTGCAGTAGTCCACAATAGTAGGGGGTTGTTCACAGAAGTTGTTGACTAGAGTCTTTTATAGCTCAGCATATTAATATGGCTTTACTTTATATACCTCGTTTTTATACTTTTCTGCTGGATGGTTAAGACCAAGATAAAGCAAGACCTATATAACAGGAAATGTAACTTTTGTATCTGATAAGGTCAGTCAAGTCCCCTCAGGATTTATCCTGTAACCCTGTACTGCACTTTGTAGATCCTTTGTCAGTGTCAGCCATGTGGATGAGTCATGGCCAATGCTTGACCAATTTGATCTCTGTGAAAGCCTGAGAGAAAGTTTTGTCTCCATGTGACTCTCCTTAGGCACACTCTACATCATCGATCACTTTCCTCTGTGGCTCCATAATCTCCTTGATCAGAAAATTCGGGGTACAACTGAGTTACAGTATTGGTTCTCTTATGTTCTGAGTCTTCACTGACCTTGAAAGGCTAGGGCCAAAATGTTGGCAGACCTTGCAGCTCTTCCTTTTCTCTAATTTTGATCTGCATACTTAGGTTTTTAACCCTCCAGAAGAGAAGCTTATTATTACCCTGCAACATATGCAGTTCAATTTACCCTATCTGTCTAAATATCGAACATCTTAGGCATAACGTGGAACAAGTATCTTCCATCAAGTATTGATGTGCTGAAATTTAAGTCCTTACAGAATATGAAGAAAAAAAATTAAAAATAGGGATAACATATTTTTACACAGAAATTTAGAAATCTAACCATATACAACATTGTAGCAGGACAGTCCTATGACATTTTTTTCTTTTTCTTGTGTCTTTGTTTTTCATTTATTACCCATTTAAAAAAAAAGAAAACCAAACAAACAAAAAAAAAACCTTTTACTTGTGAGTCAATATAGTATAATTGGTATGTCATGACATGAAGTATGTATTTAGAAGACCAGAATGACAGGCATTCCAAGCGTGACCCTTCTATTACACATCGCTATCTCTCCTTAGGCACACTCTACATCGTCGATCACTTTCCTCTGTGGTCCCATAATCTCCTTGAACAGAAAATTTGGGACAACACTGGGTTACAGGATATTGCAGTATAGGTACTCTTATGTACTGAGTTTTCACTGGCCTTGAAGGGTTAGGGTCAAAATATTGACTTTCCTTGTAGCCTTTAAGGGATCTTTTCTTACCTTTTCACTAGCTGCAATGGTGTCTTCAAGGTCTGAAAGTCTATTTTCACTTTCATTCAAACAGTTTTGCCAGCTTTTGATTAAGGTTTTAATTTCCTGTATATCACTTTGAATCTGCTTCATGCATTCTATTTCTTTCCTATATTGCTCATTCAAGAATTCCATCATTTTTATATTTTCCTCTATTTTTATCAGTGTCTTGTTTATAAACACTTACTAATTCTTTCATTATAGTTATCATTTCATTTTTTACTTCAGAAATTATTTTTGATCTGATTTCCTAATACCTTTCTGCAGTTGTTTTTTGCTTCAGACACTATTATTTCTGAGATTTCAGGTGTATGATTTCTAATTTGTTCTATGCTGTTGTCTCCTACATTTGTTCTTGGTGGGCTCAGGGTCTAAGAATGTATTTTGCTCCTTCTTTTTGTCATTTTGTATAGCACTATCTTTTGATTTTTGGTGTAAAACTTTGGCACAGTTACTACCTTAGCACCAGGTCCGGATCTACCAAGTTTAAACTTGTCCAGGTGGGTATGGCTTGGGTCTGGCTGCTGTGCTCCACTTCTTCCTGTTGCAGCCCTTGGAAAAGAACCCACTGTGCCACTCTGGCAAGATGTTCTGCTGCGAGATCAGCTGTGTGGGTCTTGCCTCTAGCCTCTCTGCAGGGAGTTCTGTCCCAGGGTTCCACATCAGACCTGTCTGATGGAGTAAGTTACACACACACACACACACACACACACACACACACACACGCCTGGCCTGGGTGCTGGCTGGAATGAGGATTCCTTGGGCCAGCAGATGGACACACACACACACACACACATACACACACACACACACATCCCAGGCCTGGGCACTGACCAGAATAAGGATCTGGCAGACTCCGGGTGGTCTCACTCACATATACCATTATATTTTAAAAGGAAGAAAACTTATTCCTGCTTAGTGTGTTCCTGCAAACACAATGACTGATGCTATCTTTATGGGTTTCTTTCATTTTTTTAATGAGCATTTATTAGTATAACAAGACCCACACCAGTTATCTAATTCTATACTCTGCTTCTTCTTTATATTTAGCAGTATATTTTGAATTTAGTTCAGGCTAGAATTTTTCAAACTACACCCTACTGGGCTGGGTTGTAAGAAGGCATGCCAGGAGTTATAACTATATTGTGATATTATCTCAATAAACTCAATATATTAATATATCAATTGCTCTTATTTTATCTTTATAAATTATGGTTTATTTTTATAAACCATATGAAGAGTATACAACAAATTATACTTGAATAAGCTATAAAGTAACCCTTATAGAAGGAAACTTGCTTCTAAAACTCATCTTGGAAAATATAATCCAGTGTAGCCACCTCTGGAAAAAATTATAACTGTTTACCTCACAGAAGTCAAAGTTAAATAGAAAATAGAAAGAAATGCCATTGTCATCTGCATGTCCTTAGTAACCTAATATGTATTATTTGTATTACTGACATAAAGTTTATTATTCAGACTGCTATTTAAAATGGATAGTTGCTACCAGAAGTAAACATTTTCCTGAACCAATATTTATTTTGATTTATGAGTTCTTTGACATGCAGTTCAGAGATAAGATTCAATACAGCTTCTCCTGCATTATATTTAATTTTATGCTTACAAAATCTTATATAATAGAAGACTTCAAAAGAATAAATCAAACTAAAATTCTAGAATTGGCAAACATTTTCATTGAAGTTTCAAAAAGGAGGATGGGGAAATCTTGATGAAAAGGAACCAAGAAATTAGACTACAGTACACAATTTATACACATTATAAATAAAACACATAGAAGACAGTGACTTTTTTTCTCATTACCTGTATAGTAAATTACAGTGTGTAAACATCAAAAGGAAAAATATGTCAATACCAAGATTTTTGTAGATCTGTCAGTCCTGTAATCTCAGCTATGCTGGAGGCTGAGGCAAGAAGATCACAAGCCCATGGCCAACCTGGGCAAAATCCTGTCTCAGAACAAAATTAAAAAGGGGGTGGAGCAGGGAATGTAGGTCAGTGATTCCTGGATTCCATCCCCAGTACCAAAGGCAAAAAAGATTTTCTTAGATTGAGATTACAATCAATTCCTAACCCTAAACAACACAATGCTTGAAGACCGGACGTGCTAACCAATGATACAGCTTGTAATTTCATTTCTTTCATATAATAATGTACAACCAACACTGTGGGTTGTCCTATGGTCCCCTTCCTTGTCACCAAAGCCCCATATCACAAGCTACCCATCATATCTGCACTTTCTCAGCCTCTCCAGCAGTTCTCAGGGGAGGCTCAGGCCAGTGTACCTCAAGGGCCAGTTAATCAAGGGCCTTTGAGGGCCTTCAAAGGAAGTCTTTCTTTCTGACAGGGATGGAAGCCTTCTGGGGCAAGATCTTGTCTCTCCTCTTCCCTGGGCTGCTTCTCCTCACACAGGATAATTACATGACAGAAGGCTCCATGTGCCCACAGAGGAAACAAGGGCCTGCAAGCTGACCTGTGAGTGGCAAAAGGAATGAATGGTGAATTTTTGCTTCTAGTTTTCATGAAACCTTAGGTTTCTTCTTGGCTAAGCCAGTTCTACTTGAACATCCTTATTGTACTCCAAATCTCCCAAAGTAATTCATGATGCATCCTAACAGCATCAATATCTGGTCAATATTCCAACGCAAATGAGAGAAAGATCAATTCTCGGAACACATTTTAGGATAAAGTTACCTGGTAACAATGTTTCGTTTCCATTTTCCAAAATGGCAGCTGTTGTAACATGAATATGATTCCAAACTGATGGCACATGGCACCTCAGTTATCTCCACCCACTGGCCTGCTGGCCTTGCGACAGCAGACAATACAACATACTTCCCTCCTACTGGATCCTTCTTTTGGTGGCCAAAAAAGTAGAGGAGAAAGATCATTAATAGAGTTTATTTTTAATATGTGAGAATATAAAAACAATCCCAACCATCGGTAGTCAGCTTTCCATTACTATCACAAATATCAGAGACAATCAAGTTTTAAAAAGAAACATTTACACTGACTTCCAGTTTCCAGGTTCTGGTCCATGATCATCTATCTCTGCTGTGGGCTTGTGGTGAGACAGCACCTAATGGCAGAGAGTGTGTGTTAAAGAAAAGCTGCTCAGCCAATCACAGCCAGAAAGCAGAGGCAGAAGAAGAAGAGCCCCGCGGCTGGCTCTTTAGGTCCAGGGCACACTCCTGGTGACCTAGTATCCTTCCACCAGTTCCCACAACCCCATAGCAGCAGCACCTTCCATGATACTATACCTGGCAACCAAATTTTCAACACAACACATGCTTGCTGGGGAATATTCAAGATCCAGACTATAGCACCCATATTAATGCTAGTAGAGATTTAAGTAAGACCAAGTAACCCCTAAATGTCCTTCCATATAGGGACATAATATTTTGCTGAAAGACAGATTTTAAAATGCCAAGATATTCCAGTATCACCCAATAACATTTTATGCTGCCTGTAATATTTCATTATTTCCCTGAAAGAAAAACAAACTTTTGGGAACTAAGCTACTGCACTGCAGATGGTAATTTGTAACAGTTGTTTCATGTTGGGAGTGCCTGTCATTGT